CATTAAAAAAGTGTAAACTAACCATAAAAATGTATTTAAAAAAACATGCGAAAAAGGTTCAACCAAAGTTGTAGATCATGTAACCCTCTGCAAGAGTTTCACATTTTAAAAAAACATACGGGTAATAAGAAGTAAAAGCTCATTTACGATCACCTTTATTCTCTCAACACAACTCATGATAACAAAACATAAAACATCAACACAGTCTGTACGTCATTGTGACAACATCGTCCCTCCATGTTTCCATGGAGACAGTATACAAGATATCCTGATTGGTCCATTTGTTGCCACGAAAGGCTGCAGTCATTGCCCAGGTGAATTTACCTGGTAAAGGAGCGAACATGCCTGCCCCTCCCACCTCCGCTCCCTCCTCCGCCACTAAACTTGCTCCCCTGAGAGCCTCTCCCCCCTCCTCCTCCCCCGCCTCCTCCTCCGGCACTGCCGCCACCTCCACCTCCACTAAGCCACGACAGGCCAGTGCCTCCTCTTCCCCGCGGAGCTCGGTCCCGAGGAGCCAGGCGATACGCACCTGGAAGAAACAGAGACAAACATATTTTCAGCTCAATGTTAAGAAACTCCTACAACAAAATCATGACATGTGAGCGCATGTTTGCATGTTGTCATACTTGCTGGCGGTTGTCTGGAAGGCAGCGGTCCACGTGTGAAGTTGCTCTGGCCTCCCCGGGGCTCGCTGTAGGTTCCTCTGTGAGTGATGGCTGGAACTTGGCCACTCCAAGACGATCCTCTGCCTCCTTCTCTTCTAGTATAGTTACCTGCCAAAACAAAAAGAAATGATTTGTCACCCTCTACTGGTCAAGAAGTGATTCTTCTGAACTACTATTTTACATTGCACAGTATACATAACTTAAGTTCAACATTGACCTGCGGCCCCCTTGCTACCTTTATCCAGAGCTTTCAACCACATCTGACCTACTTCATCAGTAAATGCGTTTTGCTCAGTTTTCATGAAGGTCAACATGTGACCTAAGTATGCAACTAACAGATGGTTGTATAATGATGGAGTAGTGACAACATGACAAATCAAAAACATTAATGAGAGATGGTTGAAAGTTCTGCAAAAAGCCAGTAAGTGGATCTTAACTATTCATTTTGATTCAAACTTCATTGTCAAGACTGATACTTATACATTAATATTAAAGAAAACATAGTGAGTGTCTGTGACTCAATGTGTGCATCTGCTGCGTGTGTGTGTACCTACCAGATAGCAGGACACCTTTCGGTTGTGGTGGAGTGAAAAAGCGAGTCTGGCTGTGGAAGGTGGCTCTGCCTCTGTTGCCTGTGAACAGTCCTCTGGTGGGGGGTTTGGGTGAACTCTTGGGCAGCCGTTTTGGAGGCAAAAGCCCAAGAGGCGTAATGTCCTTAAACTCTGCCGCCACAAAGTCATCCACGTGCATACTGGGAGGACGGGAAGTGTTCTGTTTGCGCTGGCGGAAGATATCGTGGGGTCGGCAGAGATTTTGTCCGAACCCTCCTCGACCTCCGCGGCCACGTGGAGCAGCCATGATGTGGGCTCGTTTAGCAGGCTCGATGTAATCTGATTTACCGCTGCAGGGACACACATGCGATGATATTAAGTAAGTTTATCGCAGATTCTGTGAAAAGTTTACAGATATTAAAGTTACACGAGTCAAACACTGAAAACTCACCTTGATGTGATGAACGTCTCGTGCTTGTGTTTGCCCAGTCTGAAGCCTTTTGTAGCCTTGGTGTGACCAGGAGAAGACGGCTCAGACAGGAAGGAGCGCTCCAGCTCTGCCTTCAGGTCCAGTTCTGGACAACACTCCTGAGCCAGTCCCACCAGATCCACCTTCACCTTCCACAGAGAGAGAGGAGAGTTGTGACTGTTAAAGACTGTGCCCCAACACTGTAGATGATCATGTGTAACCATTTTATTTTCCTAAATCTAAACAGCAGATTCATTAAGTGACCCTAAGAAAGGTTGCTTTCTTTTGAGTTGTCACTGTAGTAGTGTGGCAAAAATATATAAATTATTTATTCTTATTGTGTGTTTATCTTATATTTGTAGTGTCTGACTTTTAATGCCTAAATTCATGTTTTTGTTGTAATGTTGTACTCCTGTTTAACCATGTTGTTTGTAGCTTCTTTAAACTTCATGTTGTTATTATGCTATTAAAACATTGCACTAAAAAAGAAAAGATAACGTGCAAAGTGCAAAAACAGTGTTTCTATAAGTAATAAAATATGATTAATAACAGTGTAAAATACTCACAGTGAAACAGATACTTTTTTCTGTAATTGAAAAGCCTTAACAAAGTCTCATAAGATTCCTGCTCATGCACTGCATGTATACAAGCACACTTACCATGTCAAGGTCTGTTTCTATGTCATCAGTTTGGAAGGGAGAGAACCACAGAGCCTTCAGCTGCTCATCCAGAGCTTCTGACAGAATGAACACAGTCCTGCAGAGAAAAACACACACAGGTATGATAAGCTGGGTTAGCTCTAGTCTCAGTGAAAGCTTATGTACTAAAAGTCAGGTGAACACCATTTTGTTAAGAATATCTAATAAGATTATTTTGTCATTTAAAATGTTCCTTTATTGGAATTGTACATGCTTCACTGTGGTGGATTACTTTAAGGTCTGTGTATTTTGTGTGGACCAGAGACAGTACCTGTGGTTAAATTGGGCCCCGAGTGTCTCAGGAGCCGGCAGAGTGGGCTCAGTATCAGCAGCTGGAGGTGTGTCGGTGGCCGTCTCCAGTGTCTGCCTCAGAACAATCACATTTTCCAACATGGCCTCCAGTGATTCATCTTCTTTAGAAAGTTTCTACAGACAAACACACAGTTAGTTTAATGTCAAGGCCTCACCAACCCTTATTAAAAAAACATACATGTTGTGTGTGCATCATTTGTACCGTAATCTGTTTCTCTAAAGTCGGGAGTGGATGTGACTCAGACTCCTCCCACTGCAGCAGAGCTTTCATCTCAGAGCCTGACAGAAACCGTGGATGAGAGAAGGAAGACTCCTCACCAGACCCCTGAGCCTCCTCAACACACTGAATTAGAAACAGACAGATCCAACAATAAAATCAAACTATCACAGACTGTATGAACCACTATGAGAGATCTTGTTCTTTTCTTTATGTAACAACTACTTATTTAGACATACAGCCAAGTACTTACCATTGCATCTGTGTTGAGAATCTGTCTGAGGAAGTCCAGCAGAGCTGAGAGCAGATCTGATGAGTCCTTGTTAAATGCAAACACCAGCCTCTTCAACAGCGAGCACAGAGCCGCACCATGTTTCTTCAGAGCACTGAAAGAAAAATAATTTGCGATCAAGTGTCATTAACGGAGAACAATCTTAAAGTAATCATAACAGGAAACAGTGGAGGAGCTGCTTCACACAGACCACATTGGCAAGATAAATGAAGGAAACATTGCCATTTACACTTTGAAGTGGTAAAGTCCATAGTCGTGCTCAGTGAAGAATGTCAAAGTCCTGATACAGGTGAGGAGGAGAGGGACGCTGCTCTCTGCATTCCCCAAAACCTCTAACAAGGCATTGCACACTGATGACATCATCTCTCGCCCCGGAAGTGCATTGGCCAGCTGCTCGACCTCAGACACACAGCTGTCACCAGGTGGAGATACCACCAAAGAAATGTCCTGATGAAGACAGAGATTTTTAACATCTGTTTAATTCTTCTCCCTATATGCACATGTGTTGTCTGCCTTCTCATGCACTTCATTACTTACTTGGTCACACAGTGACTGTAATATTGTCCCCACTAGCTCGCTGCACTGCTGCTGTTGTAAGCAGTGGTCGGTGGGAGGAACCAACAGTGGCAGAAGCAAAGGGAACAGATCGGCCAGTTGTTCATCTCCAGACACAGACCCAGAGAGAAGGTGTAATGCTGCACTCTTACAAGCTCTCTGTGACACCAGGGCATCCATCAAAGAAAGCAGACGGAGGGCCTGGGCCCAGCACACACCTTTCCCCTCCACTCTGCAGTTAGCACAAATGACTCAGTTAAAACACAATTTACAGCATAATCACTATTAACTGAGTATGTGAATGTGATCACTCACGGCTGCAGCTCCTCCAGCAGCAGCTCCACCAGGGACTTCATGATGAGCGTCGCAGTGGGTGAAGACAGATCTGCCAGTTGAACGCACACTCTCCTCAGCATGGCTAAGAGAGGAGGGCATGTAGTTCCACACACACACCTCAGCGTCTCAGAAAACACTTTCCACTGCGCCCGTATGTGCATGCTCCACAGCTTCCTTGTGTTTAAGGCTACAGCCACATCTTGGACTGATATCACCTACGGAGACAGTAGTATGTTAACATAAACATGCTTATGTACCAAACAGATAAGCAGGCAGAGGGGGAGAATGAGATGAGGTACCTGAGTGCTCTGCATTGGAAGTGGGAGAGGCAGGAGCTCAGACAGCAGCGTGAGACCAGAGAACAGACCTTCAGGAGCTTTGAGCAGGGAGCCCAACACCTCCTTCAGCATCAGCGACCAAGTGTTACTGGCCAGAGTCTCTTCAGTATGAGTGACCTGCAGCAAATACACACATTGTCTCAGAAAACTGATTCCCAGTGACACTTTCTGAGTTGTATTGATTGGATAAACAAAAAGCCTTGGTCCTCCCTCAGTCACACACCTCCTCATTGACACCCTGTGTGAAGGTGAGCAGCACATCCACAATTAAAGCCTGCACTCTGGTCTCCTCCCCGTCCAGACGTCCAGACGCAGGGATGGAGCAAACAATCATGTGGAGCGTCACCAACACACTGGCAACACGAGTGTCCCTGAACTGAAAAGCTCCTCGACGGAGGAGCTCTGTCAACATGGTGCGCAACAACCTGAGTGTGCTGATGCATATACTGAGGATCATGCAGCGTTGCGGCGTGGGGCCCATGTGTCCGTGTACACGCCATGGCTGCAGCAACACGCTGCACAGCTTCTGCAGGACGCGCACACACGTATCCAGACCCTCGCCTGAGAACAGCTGGACCCCTGCGAGGCTCCACTTAAGATCCCTCTGCTGACCTGCACAAAGGAGTCGACATGATGAGAAATGTGTACCATATTCGTGATTTAATAACAAATATCATGCTTTTTGTCTTTACCTTCAACAGCAGGAGGGGGGCTGGCAATGTGATAGAGAACCCTGAGCGCAGTGACAAGCCCAGTTCCCTCAGCAGTCAACACATTTTCCACATTCTGAATCGAAGAGAAAAAATACATCTTTAAAAGTCACACTTATAATTATTTGCATATAGCCTTGACTCAAATATGCTACGTAACAGGTATATGTTGAGAGTTGTTCAGACTTGTCAGTGAAGCGCAGCATTCCAAGGTT